GCTATTAGGTACCTATGGTATATTGAACTAATTTTTCCCTTAGTGTTTCTCGGACACGATAAGAAAAAAGTATATTATACCATTTAGTAAAATGTACTATATACAGAAACATTTTTTCAACGATTTTTCGTAAAGCTATAAAGATTTATTCGCAGGCAAATTTCATAACTAAAAAAACGATTCAAAACAAACTTGGAAATTAATTAAGGGTAGATACCTACTACTGGAAAAAAATCAGTAAAAACAAATTTAATAAACAAAATTAAACTTGAGAATGGTGCTATTTTTGAAAATCATTTTGATACATATAAATACCTTTTGTATGAGAGTTGGTAAAGATATAGAGAGTGACATTATTTCAAGTAAAGTTGAGCATAAATTGTGGAGTTATTTAAATAAAAACTGTTTCATTAAGGATAGAATATTCCTAAATCTAATAAATTAATTTGAAATAAAGACCTTCAGAAATAAATATTCCAAGTATGAAAGCACATACTCCATATTTTTAAAAAGGACTGTAAAACTTTATTCTGAAAAATACTTCATGTACTTTTTCATTTTCAATCTATCTCTGTTATCATCCGTGTATCCTGAACTGTTTAAAAATGTATAGTTATTCCAGCTTTTAAAAATTGAGAAAAAAATGCAATGCAATAGCCAATAATTTTTGTCATATTTCGTTATCTCAATCACTTTTTAAACTATTGGAAAAATGACTTAAAGATAGGATAATTATTTTTTTTTTGAAAAAATGTATTTATTTTCACCCAACGAATTTGGTTTCATTTCTTGTTAGTCTACTATAGAGACACACATTTCATGCTAAATTATTTTACCCATAAACTAATGGATGAAAAATATAAAGTCTTAGGAATTTTTCTGGATATAAAAAAAGGATTTGAAACAATAAACTATACATTATACTATTAAAAAAAACTTGAACATGCAGGAGTACGTGGCATTTTTGGTAAAGTAATTCACCCCTAAGGGCAGTTTGGGCCTGCGGGATACCAGGAACTCTACCAGTGCGCCGCTGCTCAAAAATAATTTGTATTAATATAATATTATATATTTATAATGAAATAGGTATAAATATAAATTATAAATCTTATGTATTTTCGTATCATAACGCGTGAGTGTGAAAAATTGTTTATATTAGGTATTTAAGATTTTAGGTTTCGGTTAGGCTGATAGTCCACACCCCTCGGCAACAATGCATCATCATTCATCAGTAATTATTATTATTTATAACAATGGCGTGGATTTAAATACAAATTACAAAGTATTGAAAATCAAAATTTTTATTTATCCTTTTTTTAAACTTTTTTAATTTTTAAAACACTTTTTTGGCATTTATAGGACATTGGTATGGCTGAAAATTATTTTTCATAAAGCTTATAAAAATAAATCAAATTTAATAAGGTATTATATTTTCTGATATCTTAAATACCTTAGTAGTATTATCTCATGATGGGCTAGTGCGAATGTTGCAAATATGAATGTTAATCATTATCATCCCGTTCTCGTACTTTTGTGTGAGTACTGACTTCTGAGTGATTACCCTCAATGCCAACAACACACAGGGCTCTCCAGGACATAAAGTGGGAAAAAATGTCATGGGGGGACTACTGTCTCCATATAGTTTTAAGCGTTCCATGTATAACGTCTAATGTATAGTATGTATAATGTATAAACAGTGATTGTGTAAACATACTCATCCCACTTTAAACCCTAAATGATGTTAATCCTAATTTGTTAAAAGGGGACGATTTTTAACCACAGAGGTGGGGGTCTGAGTCCCCTGCGCCCCCCTCCCCACTTTACCCCTGGAGCTCTCACTTATTTTATTTTGAGAAAGCTGATTACAAATTACAATACCATAAATACCGTTTTAAATAATCTTGATTCATTATTTTGAAACAACGCTGAATCAATTAATTTACTATAGATAAAAAGTTTCATGAATTAATTTATAATATTACTGTCAAAAATGTATTTTTCATACATATAAATATCCTTCTTGGTTTAATAAATAATAATAACGAATAACGTCTAAAAAGCAATGCTCACAAAAAGATTTCTAAAAATAGTGATGATTATTCCTACATTTTTTAAATTAAAATCTCAATGCAAAAATCCAACCAAGTTATGTTATAATAATAAATTAATTCGAACATAAAAAACAGAATAATAACACTTTACCTTCTTCTTTAAAATATAAAAACGACATTTCGAACAACCTGTTCAATAATCAATGTAACAAATTACTTTGGTACCTACGTATTTTTTATTTGATTTGAAAAATAACAAATTATGTAACATTGACTGTATCATACACTTTTTTATATCTGCATCAATGTAGGTCTAGCCCAGCCCGGCCCCTTGGATACTTTTATATATTGGGATCCCTAACCAAATAGGAAAGTAATTACAGTCACCCGCTGTAACATACTGTACAGCAGAGCAACTTCCATTTGCCCGCTTTTTTTTGTAAAGTTGAAAACTATAAGCCAGGGTGACACTGGTTTGTATAATATTATTTATTAATTATTTACATCGGCCTGGCTATTGTCAGAAACCACATAAATTAAATGAGAATATCATAATGTAATATAAGATTATTACCATTCGATTTTGACTTTCGAAAGCCATATGTTGTTCGTTAATAAATAATAATAACATTTTAAAATGTATTATAAATTATAATATGTAATTCCAGTTATTCTAATCACTTTTTGATCAGTTTTGGCAGAGCACTTAATTTAGATATTGGGAGGTAAATTGTTATACTAATGTAGTAACAAGATTCCAAATTGGAGAAATTAATATAAAATTATAACAACAGTTCCAGCTAGAAGAATCTCCCAGGGAATATAGGTACCATTAGATAAAGACAAATTAAATATCCGCATTATCGGATATTATGCTAATGAATAACGATTAACGATAATACGATATGAATATACAGGAACAATATGGTGGTACTAAATCTTGGTCTGAGCTTGGGTAAAAACGAATATATCTGAGGTCCTTCTTAATAAAGGTATTTTATTGAAATTAGATAACTAGATAAATTTATATTATGAGGCGATCGAATAAATATTATTGATAATTAAATAATTAATTTTAGGTAATTGTTACGAATAATATTTTTTTTGCATATTATTATGTACGGTGTATTTTTACCTATAGATATAAAAATATCATAATACGAATCTTCATTCTTCACAATTATATTTTAAACAAGTAATAATATCCAATTTCACATCAAATAATTTCATTCAAAAGAAATACATTTCATATAAATTATATAACAATATGTAGGTACCCACAATATATATAACACAACATAAAGCACTTAACATAATATATATTATTATGCATAAAGTTGAAAAAAATAATCTTAAACGTATATACCTACAGTTAGGTACTATGCAATAATATTGGACCGACAAAATAATTATGTCGTCTGGGTAAAACGGTCACATTCATGTCGATGCTGCAAAAACTTGCAGGTATATATACAGGGTGATTCACCAAAGCATGCTCACCCTTATATAATTTTCTTTGATAATGAATTTTTTTTCAAACTCAAATTTTTAAATTTTTACATATACTTCAAAACTATTTTTTCAGATTCTTGAGATTTTTTTGTACTACTTAGGGAGTATCCGTGGCAATAGAAACTTCTGTTTTTCGAAATATATAAGAACCCTCCTTTTTTAGTGTAGATAATTTAGTGGATAATTTTTTTGGAAATCTTAATGTATTTAGTTCAAAATTCGAACGAGTATAGTTTCGCAGTTATCAAAATGTATGTACTAAAAATAAAGTAGTATTTAAAAATAGTTTTATAAAAATATAAAATAGATGTAATTATACTATGGGCTCCATAGTATTTTATACAATATACATGGACCATTTTTATAAATTATAAATGTTAATAGATTAATATCAACTACTATAATATTCATATCGCCATATAGTCCAAATATTTTCCAAACCCATTCATATAATCTGTGATATTACTATCCTTATAGGTAGTTGGGATTACACATTGTTAACTTATTTAATTAAATAACTCAAAAACTACTCTTTTAGATTTTTTGATACGACTACATTTTCATAAAAATTATCTGTTAAATAATTTACAGAAAAAAAGTGGGAGGGGGGGGTTCTCATTTCAAAAACAGAAGTTTCTATCTTCATAGGACACTATTTAATTTGTACAAAAAAATCTCGAGAATTTGAAAATGTGATCTTTAGAAGTAGATACCTATGTTAAAAAATTCCGAGAATCAGATTTTGAAAAAAATTGCATCATTGAAGAAAAAAGGAGTAAACATGCCTGGTGAATCATCCTGTATAATAATATATATTAAGTAAGTAGAACTCCCAGAGGGAATAATGCCTATATAATATTATCTTCAATATAATATGACGTGGTTTCTGATATCTACCCACGTACAATAAATTCATATTGCAGCTATATTGCTGTCGCTTGTATATACATGTACCTACTTCATTTAATCAATTCGTTATCATATAGGTATATTTAGGAATATATACAAACAATGAAAACAAATAAACCGCATGACGACGATAAAAATAAAAGAAATAAGTAAAAGAAAAAAGTGGGATGTATATATAGCACGAAATAAATAAAAACCACCCTCGTATAAACGCGCGGCACTTGACGTTATACTCTAATCAATATTTCATTAGCCCGTCTGTAGGTATAATATTGTATACCTGGGAATTCGGTAGAAATGAAAAAAATACGAAAAACAGTGAGCGTTTTCTACTCTCTCTACCCCCGCCAAGTAAAGTCATTCACTTCACTCCTGGCACTATTCTTGCCACGATTCTGGTTTTTTACTCTTTTTCAAGTCTATCTTTTTCACTCCCTCGCTTACTCTCTCTCTTTCTCTTCCTACTCTCGCTCCCTCACTACCCTCACTCTGTCTCTGTATCTGGTCGCGTTCAGGATTCATTCATTTTCAATTCGCAGAACTATCATCTACTCGAGTGCCGGGGGGCCATCGAGCAGCGGAGGCGACGGTGGCGGTGGTGACGGTGTTTAGGGTAGCGAAAGGTGGTGGAGGTGGCGACGATGGTGGTTCCGACACTGCTGGCGCGGCGGCATCGGTAGGGTGGACTACGAGTGAACGGACGCAAAATATGTGCGGCGTGCAGTGACGGGGCTCCCGGGTCCGACGTTGACCACGCCCACGCCGGCCGACGATTGGTCCAATCACAACGGCGGCCGGATGCTGCTGCTGATGCCAACGCCTCTCGGCACAAAGCGCGTCGCCGACGAGCGGCCGCCGGTGGCCGCAGCCGCCACTGCCTCGGTATATTATACCGGCGCGAGCCATAAGACCGCCGCCACTGACGCTGACGCGTTTTCCGAATGCAACACCCGCGCCGTCGTAGTCGTACCACACGCGCTAGCACTGCATATCGCGTCACATCACTGCACCGTATCACACCGTCGTCGATATATCGTACAGTGCTAGTATCATTTATCGAGTACCTAGTATATAGTCGTCGGTCCGTATTGTCTCCGCCGCGTACCATTCGCGACAGTGCGCGTAAAACGGCAGAGAAATAATAATAAAATAATTACACAGTGTTGGTCAATACATTTTGGATCTAAAAAGTCATCCTCATTATACAATTTTACATCGACCTGTCGATCGCGGATCGAAAGATTTCCACGCGATAGCCCGCGCCTATCCATATGACGAACTTGGCCAACCGTCGGCTGTGCCCTCCTAGAGGGACGTCTGCAGCCGTCGGTGGTTCATTCGACTGTTGGTCAGATGCCAACACCGCGCGATCGAAAACTGAGAGCGTCTAGTGATTTTTCGTCGTTCGTCCTCGTCGCGGTTCTAAATAATATTTCCTTTACTTTTTTACGAACAATCGAAAATCGATCACAATTCTGTCATCGATACCGTTTAGGCCGGGGTTAAGGCCGAACATGCTCAACAACATCAGTATAATTGGCCCGAATAATGTCGGCGGTAAGCATAATATAATATAGGAAAGATAAATATACTTATAATTTATAATATAATTTCATAATCAGATTATCATTTTTGAAACTAACAGTGATAATGGTAAGATAAGTATATAATAATATAGTATTCGCGCTGCGATTGAGCATACATTTTATAACCAAAAGTATGGTTATTATTTATTATATTATATTATATATAGGTAGGTATAAATTATATGGTTTATAAACGTAATTTGTATAGAAATTAAATCGTCGAGTTAAATATAAATGATAACTAATTTTTATTTTGAATAGGAAGCGTACATAGCAGGTAGGTTCCGAAGATTGTACCTAAATAATAAAATATAAAAATCATATTTTAATAAGCACCTATACCAGTTAAAATATTAAACGATCTTTGGATGAAATTGTAAATTATCTTAGCTGGTACCTATATAAATATTTCTTTCCCGTGAAATATAGGGAAATAAATCTAAATGTATGTGTAACAAAAAAATCACAAAATAAGTTTATCGTTCAACAAAACACGGAGATAGATCGTCTGTAGATCGTGTATGATAAAAAAAATATATATAGGTATTGCATGTTGTTTTATAATATGCACTTTTCATTATTCTAATTTGAAATTGAAAAGTCTTATAGAAGATTTTGACATTAAATTAAACATTATATCATTATATCAAATTATTCATTACAAGTAAATTATTAACTCTTAAAAGTATGTACTGTTGTTTGTACGTTCACTAAGTTCAGATATAGCCATATAGGTAATCAGCTAGGCATATCAATATGTGTACCTATACTCGACAACACAAAGGTACTAGGTATATTTAATATTAATAAATTATATATAGGTACGTCATAATATTTAATATCATGTTGAAAAATAATATTAAATGCAACTATTATTAAAAATTAATAATTAAAACATCTATTTATAGTAAAATATAACATAATTTTAATACCATTGCGTCTACAGAATAATTATTTCTAAAGGTTACTAAACATGATAATGTAATGATAAACTTTGACTGTTGCATATGCTATTACTGTTATACCTATGTATTTATCCAAGTAGGTATAAGAGCAAAGAGCTATCTGCATTTCTGTAATGTGGCTATGTCTAGAATTTCTCGGGGAAAATGTAATTTATACTTCAAGTTAAAGAAGGTTAGATTTTTAAAAGTCAAAGTTGCAGTGTATTTGTATCGTGTTAGTCATTAAAGAAATAACATATTATTAACTATTAACATAATTTCAAATGGAACTAATATTATAATATCTATTTATATTTGTTAAATAAATAATATTATATAATGGTTATAGCCCATATAGTATATAGTTACAATAGGTATATATTTTTCATTTAAGGCGTATTGATTATCATTAGCCAAGAACCACTAATGGGTGGCTGCTTATTCAAAACAATCATGTTCTATTACTCTTATCATATAAACTTATTGTGCTTCAAATAGTATAGATTATTTATGCCAAATAAAAAAAAAAAAAAAAAAAGCCGTATTGATTACGATTTACGACATAATAGTATGATTGTTTAAGTCATAATATTTTTCTAGCTGTTATACATCATTATTTGATATCGGTTTTCAATTAAAAGTTCCACATGAAATGTATGTATTTTTAATTTAAAAATTAAGTTTTATCACAAATTATTTTGACTAACGATTATTTCATTAAAGTTTTAACGAAGAACCAGTTGACAACCAATCCGTTTTAACCCCCCAATTATCCCTCTACAATAAATTTATCCATATTCTAATTTTATTATTTTTAAGTTTACTTAAAGACCATCGTTTTAAATACTTACATTAAAGTGTCCTAGCTGTGAGATTGAAAATTTATTTTTTTCATGAATTATTATTAATATAGGTAGATGATTTTTATTTTGTGATAAATATCAAAGTGTACATTTGAATTTAAATGCGAAAGATTCTGAATTATTCAACTTTATTTGTATTAAATATATAACATTCAAAAAAATCTTAATTTTAATAAATCCACATGATTAAAAGAAAAAATCAGAGTGAGCAATGAACATAATTGTTTAAATCACTTTATAGTCTATATATATATAATATATTTTAAGTATTATATACAGTACCTATAGAAAAAATGTAATATGTAGCAATCCGGTGACACTATCACTTTCTGTATTATTATAATTATTATAAGCTTAAGAAATTTGCATGATAGTTTATTTAAAATAATGAAAACCTAATTTCAGATTCATATACACGATAAACAAACAGCTGTTCATATAAACAGAATGTGTGCTTGTTTTTGTTTTTACAATATTGAAAAAATTAAAAAACTCTAAAGTGGTAATATTTTATTAATTTCTTAAAACTTTAAAGTTATGAAAACACCATTTTTGAGTAAGGAAAGTTCTGACTATAATCATTTTGACAATTTTCGATTGTGTTCAGTTATCATTTCAGCTAAAGCATTTTAAATGTATTAAATATCTGATAGGTACGTTAAAACAAAAAAAATTGAAAAAATAAGGGTGTTCAGTTAAACAGAAAAGTTCCAAACGTGCAGTGATATATTATTGCGTTGTACGAATGCGTAAAACACAGAAAATCGTGACCTTCATAAGGCTATAACTTAAAATCTAATGATTTGGGGCAATTAATTTTCGCAACACCGTTCTTAACTCATTGTAATACATATAGATTACCGAAAAAAAAAAATAGTGAAATTCGCTTTGGTGTTAAACTAGATTTGTTCCCAATAAATTATTATAATTATATGTAAGTACAATAGTACACATATTACACTTGAAAAATGTACACGGGGAGGGGGGGGTTGTACTCCCTTAACCATCCCGTTGAGCACACCCATGATAGGTATATACACTATTAATTTACCCAACACTGCTATTATACTTAAACTGAAATATACATTTTAAATATTATTATGTTTTACAAATAATAATACACATTATGATTACTTGACCATCACCAACAATAACAAATTACTTGAATTGCATTAAATATTTATATGAATCATGCGTTATAATTTATACTAGTATATCTGTATATAGATTATTACATTAACCATTAATTAAACTCAAATATAAAACTATATGATTACGTTATATCTATATTAATTAAGTATCCTCCGATTATTTTTACTCATAACTTGAACACTTTTAGGTTTGGAATCCAACAGGCAATAATTAAGCTAAAACCCTAAGACTTTTCTTTAGGTTATATTGGCTTAAGTCTTATTTGTGGTTATTCAGTATTTTTCTTAACATTCAATTGTTATTTGATTTAATGTATTTATTATCCTGCAGACTTAAAGAAACCATAAGATCGGTAAAACAAACAAAAGAAACCATGCGATAAAATGTGCAATGTATTGTCAGTATTATATTATATTGACTGACATGGACATTGCCGTATTGCACGAACAGTAATAAATGTTCACTTAAATTTTTACAACCATCATAATATGTAACTATATACGCATTACAAAATTTTTATACTTTTAAGTTTATACACCGTCGTAGACATTTTGTATAGGTGCGATTGTACCTATATATGATTTAGGTATATATATATTAAGCAGTACCCAATACATGCCTACTTCTATAACGCAATAAAATCGAAATTATATATTAAATTAGCCCCAAATTAATATATACGCATATATAGGTAATAAATATAAATTTGAGCAGGTGCACGCTGGCTAAATATTAAAAAAAAGGGTTATTTTTTCACTCAAATACAATACTGTAAGAATACTAAGAACTATAAGAAACAAGTTAGGAAAGCTCAATCTGCGAGCGTGCTAAATTCCCGGTTTCTAAACTTACCTATATATTTTAATAAAACTGTATAAACGCAATAAACTATATAATTCCATATTATACAATTTAAAATATATTTATTAGGTGCATCAACAATCGTAAATAATATGTACTATACTATACTATGGTAACTAACAGATGGATGGACGGACACAGCGGGGACCTTATATCCTTATATAAACTTATGTTTAGAAATCTATAACTTGCAGAAATACTCTCCACGGAATATAATACAGGTGGCATTACACGTCGTATGCGTAATATAATATAGCTTATAGGTATCTACCTATAATATTAGAGTGTATAACAGTAATATGCGCAAGTGTAAGTGTAATATTAAGGGGCAAATTCAAACAATATATTGTTAAATTAAATTTTTCTTTTTAAGTTCCACGTGGAGCTGGAAAAACATTTCTGCTATACAGTCTCTATACAACCGTTATCTATTTCAATATCGCTTATTTACTTATTTATTTGTATGACAATAACATAAAGGAAGTAGATAATTATGTTTATGATAATTATAACAGTTAATAAAGTAGAAAATTAATAAGGCTATATCAGCTAGACAATATAAGCATAACAATGACGATAATAACAATGTATATAAATATATGTAATTTCACTAGAATTATTCTAGTAAATATCGCTTATAGAATCATCAAACAAATCAACACAAATAGAATAGATATAAATATAGGTACACATATTACCTATACATACCAACTTAATATATACAAATCCGTCAAAATTTCGTTTAGCCAGTACCTATCTATAGTACCTACCTATAGTTAACTCTCCACAGTCCAAATTATACTATAACAACTGTCATAATATTATTATGGGGGCTTGGTGTTCCACGGTGGTTGGCAGCAGTCACTAACGTATTCTGAGGTCAAGCATCGACAGGCGTCTTTAGCTCCAGGATGGGTGACCAGTCACTGCAGACCACCCGGGTTTTTAGTAATATATAATCGTCCAATATACACGTGTTCTAAACCAACCGTATCTTTCCCCACAGTAAAAAACCAGCTAATAACCATGCAATTAAAGCGTTAAATTAGTTTTAAAAAAATAAATATATTACTATGATACCTACCTATGTTGTCGTTTAAGAGTGGAAATATTATGTACATTGTATGTAGGTACCTGGGTACAATATACACTATTATGTAGTGTGCTACGCTATTTATATGTTACACAAACGTAGTTAATGTCCAATTATAGTTTATAAGTATCGTAAATCGATATTATATGATACAATATTGTACGTCGTTTGAGGTTAACGGTAACGCTCACCGAATGAGAGAAAGAGTAAGAGGGAACCGGAAGGATATAGCTTGGTAGCATTAGGGCGCGGGAAACACGATAAGTCCGTGCGGACAACGATGAGTGCGCATGTCCACCACATCCTACCTACACACACACACACGTGTGTGTGTGTGTGTGTGTGTGTGTGTGTGTGTGTGTGTGTGTGTGTGTGTGTGTGTGTGTGTGTGTGTGTGTGTGTGTGTGTGTGTGTGTTGTACCATATTATAATATACCTATACAAAATATTAAACATATATTTAAACAAGCATAATTATTCTCGCGTGTGCGTTCGCACCTCGTCCCGTCACTTATATATTATACACATCGCCGTCTGTTGATTATATTAGAAATCTCTGGTTTTGATTGGACGGTCGGTTAAATTTAATTTTCAACTCCAAATTAGCCTCCCGAACCGCACCGTTACCGCATGTTACCGCTCGTATAATATCATCGAGTTGCCCTGCATCGTCATTCCTTTTAAGTTTTAACACCCGTTCAGTCCTCGGTCCAACCACAAATAATATCGACGTCCTATACTCACACACGCACACACTATAGGTAGACTCTGATATTTATAATGACACACCGCATCCGATTTGTAATATTTCGATATATTCTCCGACCGTTATACAGTGTCGACATAATAATATTATAACTCACAAGTGTTTTGTACCTATATGGTTATATTATAATATTACAGCTATGGTGGTCACGGAGGTTTGACAATATTATGAGTCAAAACTTTGTCACTAAAACGCTGAATACCTAAGGCAATAATAATTTTAATACGGATAATAATAATCATATTATAATATGAAATATATAATTATTTAAGACATAAATCATAATTGTACGATATCAATAAATTATAATATTATACCTACTATAATCGGGCATCATGTAAAATATATCGACGTGTTTTATTTTTTTTTTGTTGATGCCACTCGCACACCACAGGCCATAAGGACTTCGATGGTCTCAAACATCGATCGCTACACCAGTTGCAGACCGGTGGCAGCGGGGGAGGTGTACACGACGTCGGGGGTAGTCACGGACTCGGCGGCACAGGTAACGGTCACCTGCAGCAAGGCAACGGCCCGTCACCTTCGCATCAGCTGTCCACCGGCGCCGGAGGGGGCGGCGGTGGACCGTTCCGGTTGTCGTGCGGCGGTTTCGACCTGTCAACCGCGGCCGGTCACGGACTGGCCGCTGCAGCCGCTGTGGCCGTCGCTGGTGGTGGCGGCGTCGGACTCAACGGCGACGACGCCGGAAAGCCGAACAAGCAGAAGAGACATCGGACCCGGTTCACGCCGGCGCAACTCAACGAGCTGGAGCGGTGTTTCAGCAAGACCCACTATCCGGACATTTTCATGCGGGAGGAGATCGCCATGCGGATCGGTCTCACCGAGTCCCGAGTACAGGTATAATATATTTATAAATATTATTTTCACTTTTTATTCACGAAACAAATTGTATAACATATACGCCATGTGATCAGAAAACCTGTCAAACTTGTCGAAGCTGGGTTATTGGCCAGGAGTGCATGACCCGCTTGGACTCATGGCCGGCGGCAATTATGGTAAGGTGAGCGTCACCCCCCCCCCCTTTTGGATTTTTCGCAACCGTCAGTCGGCATTTTCTTAATAACAGAGAGCTGTCAGAAAGTTATACGACTTGTTAAAAACTGTTTTCCTAGATTTTCTTAGGTTATAATTTTAACATTGAAAACGAGAACGGATCCTCGGCAGTCAGCAGCATTTTTATTTCTAAATCGGTAATTACAGATGATGACACTATTAATAGTTTACTATGTTATAAAAAAATTAAAATATGAGTGGATAATTATTATTTAATCAATGACTATTGACTTCACAATAGTGTAAGTATACAACTAAGGGAAAGTAGAATTCCTTGTTTTTCGACTATACGCACTTGACAATTTAAGAGTTTACTGATTTAGAATTCAAAATACTGCTGATTGCTATACGTATATATTATATAATGCCTATAATAACTGTTTTAGTACCGTCGTCCATCGCCCATCGGTATGCTATCGGTAATCGCTATCTCAAGCACCTATCTCATATCTGTGGGCTGTGGATGGTAGGTCTATATTGGTATTATTACAGTTAGTGGTGTCATTTCAGTTTTTAATAGAGGGGGGTAAAAGTTTCAACCAGTCCAAATGGATAACTTAAAAAACAACCATTGGCAAGCACATTTTAATATATTATGTTCCTGATAAATGTTTACACTGCAAATGGCTTACCTAGGTTTTTCCATAAGTGTAACATGCAGATGCCGAAGGTTTATTTTGATTTAATAATACACAATTTTTAAAGTTTAAATAATCCAAATAATCCTGTACCTGCAGTACGGCTATCGGCTGTATGATATACAAGTAACAATTAGTAGTATAACAGACTATATGCATAGAACTATTCAAAATGTTTTAGTTCAATTTTTTTTTTTTAATGTTTTTTAGGTAGTATAATATTTATGAAATTTTAATTATTTTATCGCACCTTTTTATACCCTATTATACAAAAAAAACCAGGAATTTTTATAGGTACTTCACATAGTTTGTTTTAAGAAAATACTGGTCGACATTTTTACAGTCGGCATAAATTATATTTACTTGAGCCCCCCCCCCCCGTCAAAATCGTATAACGCCGGCCCTGCAGTTGGACTAAAACCTATTGGCTATATTGGCACTCTAGTTTTGACAAATTAAAGAAAATTACAAAAATTCTAAATCAATTATTTGGGGACCCGTTTAGATCAAATAATATCACTTCGTAGTTCGTGTTTGACTCCCGACCGAGCAACACGTGTGTAGCCTTATCGCAACCGCATTTTTATCTACCGTTAGAAGTGTTCCTACTCTGCTCTACGATAAACTGGTAATATGATTTTATTAAGCGCGATTAGCTATCTTCCTAATTAAAATCAATTACGATATTAAATTGCGTTCATTCGCAATCACCACCAATATGCCTACAACATCGGGCAACTTAAATTCAAACCCAAATAAACTATCTCTTAATGATAAATTATTAGCGTCCAAACACTCAACACCTATCCCCCCACCCAAAACCACCTCAACTCAAGACAACCTCATCGTCAATGATACCAACAACATTCAACCCACCTCAAATCATCCAATAGACAGCTCCCAAGTTAAAGTTTCGCTGAAACAACAGCCAACTCTCTCATACCAAAAATGAACCAAGCTATCGTTATGAACTCAATCGACGGAATTAAACAAATACAATACATAATTGCGCTCAGTAAAATTACTGACGCAACCAACATTATCTCCGCTTCGCGCATATCTAATAACAGGTTCTGTGTTTTCTTCAAAAACCAACAGATTACTAATGACATCATTAACAAGCACTCGGCCATATTCGTTGATAACATTGAGGTACCGATACGCAAGTTAATTAACCCGGCCAAACGCATTATTTTATCGAACGTATATCCCGCTATTCCAAATAAATCTATCATCGAGGCGATAGAGACATTCGGTATTAAGATAACATCTCCAATCACGGCGCTTAAAGCTGGTTTCCCGCTCGATAAATTCGCACATATCACAAGCTTCCGCAGACAACTGTACATCAGTCCTGAAGACTTCCCAAAACTACCTGGATCGATCGTTATTGTCCTCGAAAACACCTCATATCGTATATTCATTACCGATGACATCGTAACCTGCTTTTTATGCAAAAAACCTGGCCATGTATCATCCTCTTGTAAGATGATATACACAACTCCCCCTCTGACAGAAAATATGGACACCTCAAATGGACAAACATCCACTAATACCTCATCCCATCATATTGTCGAAAAAACCAATAGTATGGACATGACTCCTGATCTACCTCTAGAAACTTCTAGCGAAATATCCAACACAAATAATACACAACTCACCAAAGACGATAATTACGATGATATATCGGACTCACAACTACTCCAAGCTACTTTCAAAAGGCCGGCCCCTGAATCCACATGCCCGTCAGCGCCTCCCTCCCCCACGTTGACCAACGACATAATTGAGTTAGGTAAGGATTCATCTGCTGCCAAAAACATAAAGTCCAAAAACCAAACCATAAAAAAAATTAAAGTCAGATCAAGATCAAACTCCTTAACAAGAACCACTGAAATATTAGATAACCTCCTCGAGCCAGCAACGGCTATCCTGCAGAATAAAGACTCCTCCCTTAATCTAATCACTTTCAAACATATTCTAGAAAACTTCACGAACAAAAATTTAAATATACATGAACTATGCATTAGTGTTGGATCCAATGCCACTGAAGTCCTTGATATGGCCGAAAAAGTATTACCACTAATGGTGGAAAAAAAAATTAAAAACAAAATATCTAAACTAACTCAAATTCTATTCCAATCTATACCTCCCCCCGAAAAGTGAACCCCGCAGACTTCCAACCTGAATCAATCAAACCAATAAAACACTACTCAAAATCTATCCCCACTTCCTTATCATAATGACCAATATCATACAATGGAATCTAGATGGCTTCTACAAACGAAGCACCGATTTACAACGAATCCTTTCCAACTTACAACCCAGCGTACTATGTCTCCAAGAAACCAATCTCAAAATGGGACAAACTGCACATGTTAAAGATTATACCAGCTATTGCAGGAACCGCGTAAACCCTATCAGAGCGAGTGGTGGCGTTGCCATACTCGTTAAAAATAACATTGAAAACAGCCAAGTCAATCTCCAAACACATCTCGAAGCCATAGCAGTAACAATAAAACTTCAAATCCAAATATGTGTATGCAATATATATCTCCCTGACAGCACCAACTTCAGCCTCCATGACCTTATCCACATTATCTCCCAACTACCAAAACCCTTTGTATTAATTGGTGACTTTAACAGTCGGAATACACTATGGGGCTCCTCCTATACGGACAGTAGAGGAAAAACAATAGAGAAACTGCTTGAAGAACCGAACATAATACTCTTAAACAATGGTAGCCCTACTAGACACAACGCAGCTAACGGAAAACTATCAGCAATCGACCTATCTATAGCAAGCTCAAACATTGCCCCAAGTATCGAATGGAAGACCCTCCCAATCTATAATGGAAGCGACCACTGGCCAATACAGTTACAACTTTTTCACCAATCTTCTAAAACAGACCCTATAAATAAATGGAAACTCAAATCACCAAACTGGGAACTATTCTCCTGCCTTGTTGACCAGTACATCACAGAAAACCAATTAGAAGTTCCCATTGAACATATACTACCCATAAACCAAACCCACATTGATGAACTGATCAACAAATTATCAACGCTAATAATAAAGGCAGCTAATATAGCAATTGGAAAATCTAGTCGCCCTCTTAACAAAAGAACAGTACCATGGTGGAACGAAGATTGTAAAAACGCAATCACAAAATATAAAAAAGCTCTCAACCGCTTCAAAAAAACCCACTTACAAACAGACCATATACTAGTTAAAAAATACAAAGCTGAATCCAGATACATTACAAAAAAAAGTAAACTAGAATGCTGGCAGAAATATACATCTACAATCAATATCAGAACCCACCCGTCAGCAGTCTGGAACAAAATTCGTGCACTCAAAGGATGTAAACACCAACCTCTTCCTAACCATATGCACCACAACCAAACTGAACTACATTCAACCTCCGAAATTGCACATGCCTTTGCTGAGACATTCCAATCAAACAATAGCAATGCAAATTATGAGGAGAACTTTCTAAATTTCAAAAATGAAACTGAAAATAATATCACAATTAACCCCTATCCTCAACCTGACAACGCGGAATATAATCACCCATTCAATATAAAAGAACTCCACCTCGCACTTCACAACTGTAACAGCAAAAGTCCTGGACCTGACGATATTCCTTTCACCTTCTTGAAAAACTTATCGGATAATGCTATCAACACTCTCCTCGCAATTTTCAACTTAATTTGGAACAATGGAATTTTCCCCAATCAATGGAGACAGGCACTCGTAATCCCTATACTAAAACCAGACAAAGATAAATTTAATATTCTTAGCTACCGTCCAATTTCGCTTATCAGTACCCTAAGCAAATTACTTGAAAAAATGATAAACAAACGCTTAGTGTGGTTTCTCGAAACGAACAAAAAATTCACAAAACAACAATGCGGCTTCCGCATAAACCATTCAACCCACGATGTCTTAGCTACACTTCACACTGATATAACTGAATCAATAATTAAAAAACAACACCTTATCCTAATTGCTCTCGATATAGAAAAGGCCTATGACATGGTATGGAAAAAAAAAGTACTATCCTCCCTCCAAAAATGGAACATCACAGGAAATATGCTAGCCTTTATTCACAATTTCCTTCTAGATCGAAAAATCCAGGTAAAACTAGGCAATACACTTTCCGAACATCTAGACATTGAGAACGGACTACCGCAAGGATCATCAATAAGTGTCACATTGTTTCTCGTTGCCATTAATGACATATTTAATAACATAAAGCCTCCCATAAAATGCACACTATTCGCCGATGATTGCAACATATATTGCAGAGGAGCTAATATCAAAACTACTGTAGCACTTCTCCAAACAGCACTAAAAGCCCTATCTGACTGGTCCTCCATCACAGGCTTCAAGTTCTCACCAGCCAAAACTCATTGCATAATTTTCAATAACAAAAAAAAAATGAAACAATCCATCATGTATACCTAAACAACACAAAAATTGAATACACTGAAAGCATCCGTATACTCGGGATGATATTTGACAGCAAATTCACATGGGTCCCACACCTCAAAAATCTAAAAAATGAATGCAAGAAGAGAATGAAAGTCATCAAAACGCTGGCTCATAACACATGGGGATCTGAAAAAAACAGCCTCCTCACCATATACAAATCGCTCATCCTATCCAAAATTGACTATGGCTCATTGATCTACTACTCAGCTAACTCCAACATCTTGCGCACTATTGACCCTATTCATAATGAAGGAATCAGGCTTTCCATAGGAGCTTTCCGTACCAGTCCAGTTTCCAGTATTCTCTGCATGGCAGGCGAGCCTCCTCTACAGATTCGAAGAAATAAAGATATCTTAAAATACGCGGCAAAAAAGAAAAACCTTGAACACCACATGGCATCACAAATATTCACCTCCTCTCCTAGTCTCAGAACATCAAGGAACCATGAAAAAATCACGGACACGTACACTAAACTATGCAGCAATTCAAATTGCCTCGTCAACACGGACACCTTCTCTCCATTTACAACATCCCCCTTCTGGCAATGGACCCCTAAAATTAACACGCAGCTCCTTCATTTCAAAAAAAACAACACTTTGCATACAATAATCTCAAGAACCTTTAACAACATCTTATACTCTGAATACCAGGATTTTAATTATATTTACACTGATGCTTCCAAAACTAGTGACGGAGTAGGATTCGCTTACTGTACTAACCATACTTCAAAACTCTTCAAACTCCTCCCGGAAGCCAGCATCTTCACAGCGGAAACCCAGGCGATCAAAGAAGCATTACTATTCGCAATAACAACGTTCACAAATAATATTTTAATAATCAGCGACTCTCTAAGCGCCCTCCTAGCCATTGAAGCACCAAACCCCTCTAATGAAATAATATACCAAATTAATAACATCATGTCCTCGACCAAAAAAGTAATTGAGTTCATATGGGTTCCCTCTCACATAGGGATCCCAGGAAACGATAAAGCAGATAAACTTGCAAACGAAGCTATCACCTCGACCTCGTCCACACTCATTTCCACTCTCCCATACCAAGATATCAAAAGAATAATAAACTTACACACTATCAATACATGGCAAATATCCTGGGACGAAATCCCAATCTCAAATAAATTAAAATGTATCAAAAAGAAAATTACCAAATGGCAAACACAGCCCAATATTTCTAGACGGTCTGAAATAATAAACACAAGAACAAGAATTGGCCATACCAACCTCACCCACATACACATCATTAAAAACGAAGAACAACCTCTATGTAGCCGATGCAATGAACCACTCTCGATTAAACACATTGTCCTCGATTGTCCGCTGTATTTCAACGCAAGGACCATTCTCAACCAACCGTCATCGATGGAGGAGGCACTGGGTGAACACCACACTCACCTGATCCACAGTTTCTTCAAACACATTGGTTTAGACACTAAAATTTAATACTGTTGAAATTACTTAACTAACAAATATATTGTAAATAGAAAAATTTGTAAAACTACTAACCTATAATATTAGAATCCTTAATTATAACTAGATTGTACATTATCAGTGTAAAAACTATTGTAGGCTAATGACCTAGTAGTCGAAGCCTTATCTTTAATAAAAAAAAAAAAAAAATATCACTTCGCACATCAATAATATTATGCTTTTCCCTCATTAGTCTTTATATATTATAATCGAACTCGTGACCATATAAGTTATAACTCTTCAAATCGCATATTGGTGGGTATTGGGTAATATCTCATTGCTCGGACATATTATATTATACTATTTAGAGCATTTATAATTATTTGAATGCAGTGTGTGAGTTATGAATCTGCATGTATGAATTATTGGGTATTTAGTTAATAATTATTAATAACATATTATATTTATGCATACTATAGATGATAATATCCGATATAATAATATGTAGTATTTCCAAAAAATTTTCAATTATCCTTCTGACACTGTGAAGTTGTTATGGGCGTTATTCGGGGCGCGTGCCTATACTTTGTTTATATGATCACAAACAGTCTGCAACCGTCCCCAAACATCCTATGATGTTCGTCTGAATACCAATAACGTTCGGATCGGCAGTAAAATCACTTGCACATTACAGTGTTACATTACATCGAAATGAGCATGTTGCCACCAGCTACCTTATAAACAAACCGAAGATAATAATAATAAATACTCGATATTTATATATTATTATGTTATTATACTTACTAAAAATGTGCATACATCATTTTACAATGGTTTTCCACGGATTCTCCAAACAATTAAAAATATAAATAAAATAAATTCTAATTTCTAAATAACGATCGTAGAGTCATATCAAACGATCTAATCTTACAATGAACTTGTGAATAATATAATTGATGTTGACATTTTGTGCATCCGAATTTCGTCAAACTTCAAAAATGTATATTGTGATTATGTATTTTCAATGTTTTTTAATAATTGATAAATGAAAAAAAAAATATATTAAATATAAAAAAACTTATAATTAATTTTGAATTGCCAAGCTTTTTATCCCAGCGAAAATTTTGTTCATCGACATTTATAAAATAAAAAACAAACTAATTTAATTTTAAATTTCAAATGTTTATAAATAGCTCCAATAGACACAAAATATTTATCTATAGGCTATTACATAATTAACCATAGTTAATACCTACCTAGTAATTTAATTTTATCACTATTAAATACCAACGTTTTAAAAATAACGAGGCAGAGATAGCAGAGCCGTGTTAAGGGGGGTAGGGCCAAGGGGGAAATTGCCCCTGGGCGCCATAGTTTTGTAAAAGTTAGGGGGCGCCTTTATTTGCGCTTAATATGCTACCTATGGCCCAAATTGTAAGGAATGGGCGCAAATTGCCCCGGGGCTCTGAATTGCTTGACACGGCTCTGAGAGATAGCCATATTATTATACATAAGTAGGTAGTAGGTAGGTATCAAAATTGTACGTAGAATATTTAAATTGTAGATATACATTTGAACAACATACAAATTAAAACCAAATCTGCATGTTGTTGAATGTTTATTAATCAAAACTAAGTATATTTAAGCGAGATTATATTTATACATATAGAAGCCAAGAAATATAAATTATTAAGTATATAGTTACTATATAGTATATACTATAGGTACTATACCTAGTATCTAAGTGTTTTTAATTTTACTAAACGAGGTTTAACTATTATAGTATATTATACATACGATACACCCGACTTATAATGATAATAATATAATGTAGAGTATCTATTACCTATAAATCATTATCAGTGTATATAGGAACTGTATAGGTAATATATTATAGTACCATAGTGTATATCAGTATATGGGATTACATGAAAACGTATACATGTATGATGTATATTGTATTCATTACTGCATCATTACTTATTTATATAGTCCATACAATCAGGTGTCTTATGACGTACTAGACAGTACGTCATAATATTATGCAATTCGTGGGAATATGATAATATGTAACCTATAGTATTCATCTTATACTATAAAATATAAACACTTACTTCTCATATAAAAATATGGGTAAGTACTATTAGAGTTGCCTGCAATTTCCATACCTGATACGTCCCGCGTTTGCCAGGACTGTAGTTTTTGAATACCTATACATCATCCCAATGTCCCGATAAAGCGTTTCGTGACGGCCATTTGCCCGGAATTAAACTTTAATAATTTATGTTTACATTTTGTCTTTTACTAAACATTTCTATTAGAAGAACAATATAAGTATAATAAATGATAAACTAACCGAATTGATTACTTGATACTTGATTGATTGATTACAATTATATTACAATTATTTTCCGAGCTTGGTGATGAATTTTTTTTTTTAAATAGGTACATTCTCCCGTTTTCTTACGACAAATTTTGTTCTTGCTTATCGCTAATTGATAGTTTTGTTGGTCACTCATTCAGATTTATAATATTGAGTTAGTTTTCACATTATAAACATAATATTATGTCGTAGACTGTAGAGTGCTTACCATTGTGTGTGGTATGCTAGTATTCCAGTTACGAAAACATATAAGATGTTAATTATTGAAACTGGTGATTAACCGTGGTGGGGAAATAATTTTTCACACAAAAATATTTATCCTGGTTTAAGTAAAACGAAATTTGGCAACCTTGGTACTATATAAACCATGCAAAAGGCCGTACACACGTACCAATCGGGGAAATAATATCAATGATAAGTGATAACATTATAGATGGGTACCCTAACATTGGCTTCGTACGAGTTGGTTCCCGGGTCATCACGAGTTGATTCCCTGGGCATTATATATTATTTTCAATATTTAGTCAAAAGAAACACTATACGAGAAGAGTGGCTGACAGATTTCTCAAAAATGTTGTTCTTTTTAATTTTTTCATATTTTGAAAATCATTCAATTTTTTTGATAAACAATTATTAGTAAAACAATTTAGTAGATAAAAATTATTATTGAAAAAATTAGTAATTAAGTAAAAAATGATTATTAAAAAAAAATTAGTAATTTGGTAAAAATGTATTACGCTTTGTTTTTAAGAATTGGTATCTCTGGTAATGAGATTACCAGTATACCGTGACGTATAATGACCCGGGAATCAACTCGTACATAAAGTAGGTCTCGGGAATCAACTTATTACCTACTGCGCTAACATTTACCTATCGCACATTGTTATAGGCACTGGTATACATAAGGAACATTGTCATTACACAGAAAACGGACAAAACGAGCATCGCTCGCGCGTAATAATATATGTAATAACAGCGTAGTAATAACAATAACAACAATAGTGTTATTTATATTTCATATACTATTTGCGATTGTCTGGCGCGTGCCGTCCGATTGCTTTTGTCGATCGCAGAAGTGTCTGTTTTTGAACGGCGGCGGCTCGAATAAAACCTAACCTAAAAGTTGTGCACGTCGTCGTTTCAGTGACGGCCGGCGAGCGGTAGCGTTGTGTACGATATTAACTGCACGTCCGCCAGCCCGGAGCCCAACGCCGGCCGGGCGCGGGAGGCGTGTAGTGCGCCAAGTCCGTCCCCCCGTCGTTGTCACCTTTTCGCCGCTGCCACGGCCTCCCATCGGCTCCCTCCGGTGGCGCAACGAAAGTAAAATAACACCCACCTATCCCCTCTCCAGTGTCTCCACTCTTCACCCACAGACCCACACACACACCTCCTCTCGTCCGACTATACCGTACAACCCTCCCTTCCCCTCACTCCACACTCCCCCACCCACCCCGAGAGCAGGACGGCGCCGAGTTTTGTTTTAACGGACCCTATACATTCTCCCCCATCCGCGGTGCAGCGCCTATGCCTAATAAACAGTGATCAACCCAAATCCTCACGACTGTTTATCAAACCTCGCAGATTGCTTTCCCCTCGCGCGTCGCAACCGCCACCGTTTCAACGGTTTGCTTCCCCGCGCAAACGCCACATAAAATAATACCTATATTATTATTATGTACCTATAGACTTTTTTTCACCCACCACCTCCCCCACCCAACCACCGTCAAAGACGCCGCAAGACCTTCGAGCCCGCGCCGTTTTGCGTTTTTTGGGAAACTCGTGGAAAACGATTTTTAATCAAATAAACTCGCGTCGTGTTCAAATTTCAAAACTTTTTTCGTCTGCACAGTATATAATATAATATAAGCTATATATATATATATATGTTCTATACTTCTATGTACCTATACATAAACGAGCATCGCTATAATATATATATTGTATTTGTATACGTATACCCACGACCCATATATTTTATTATACAATATATGCGTGGCGATGAACGTGTATATATATAATATATCACATTAGGTGCCTATGTAGTGATGTTAGGTAGGTACTTTGTAAACCGGCCTTTGGTTTACGATTTTAATAAACAGTAAAATATATTTAATGTGCTGCAGTAAGCAGTTGTGGGGTGTAATATATAGCTCAACATAATATATCCTGTGTACCATGTGACTAGGTATAATGCAGTACATATAATATAGCCACATAGGTACCTATATAGTGGCTTTTTTCAGTAACTCTGTATTATATTTGTTATTTATCTTTTAAAAACTACCAACTATACATGTAAATAAAATGTATTGCATAATATTATATTCTATAACGGTAAGAGTTAATGTCATAATAATATTAATTAAACATTCCACGCTATAGTATAATAATTTGGTCTTATAACCTAACCTATAGGTATATTTATTTACTATATTGCCTCTACTATACTATATTTTGTACTATAGGTACAACCAAAATGTCGTCCAATGCACTTACTGTAAATATATATATTTATTTATATATATTATTAAACAAAAAGAGATAGTAAAACAACTATTATCTTATCATACTTACACCACCGAAGTACCTATCGAACGATTCGAACTAACTATATAATATAATACTTACATTTATATTTTGTCGTATCATA